ATATATAATATATAAAATTGAATGAATTTTTTACTACAAATAAATTCCTAAAAAAAAAACGATAGTTAATTTATTTTTGTTAGTAAAATTTGTCTGTCTGAAACAATCAAACTATATCATACAAATGTATATTCTGTAAGGTATCGACGGCGGTAAAAAACTTGGCGTGGAGCCGATCTTGAAGGCGAAAGATATGGCGGACCAAAACGTGGAACATTTAGGCGTGATGGCGTATGCAGCGTACTTTCAATGGGTGAAGCCTCGCCCTCAAGCGAGCCAACAGATCGCTGTGCACATCGATAGTACATCCGCCCGAGTGCAACAGCCGGTTGGTCAAGTCATTGTTTGTTAATTACACCTTCGCGCCACGGCTAATTTTAAGCAGCGTTCACCGAATTTTCATCTCTGCATCGCAGTTCCTTCGTTTCGGTCCCGTCTTATCCGTAAAATCGTGGCTCGTTCGATGAAACAACCGTAAAGTTTCCATTTCACGATCTTTTCAATCATGTTATTTTGGTAGTAAAAACATTGTACGATCCAATCGCAGGCACAGTTCAAGTTAGAGATGGTCACCAAAGATGTAAATGTGAGGGAGGTACGCGGTGAAATCATCAGTCCCAGCGGACGCGTGGAATGTAGGCTTACGTGGAACGGAGTTCACGGCAAAGGCACCTTCGTACCTACGGAAGTTGGCATGCACAAGGTTCGTTTAAAGAAAAACATAGTTAGAAAATGTTCGAAACTATCTTGGTAATTAAATCTAAATTTTAAGGTAATTGACTTCTTGTGTGTGTATGTGTATATGAATCTGCGAGGTCTTAAAAATTCTATTATTTAATCCGATCTTTCCACTTTCGAATTTCATATTTCTTAAAAAATTATAAATAAAAATATATAACACGCGATATTATATATTATCTTTTGTATTATCAAAATTTATTTTTTGCTTTTCAGCTAATGGTATACAATGATGGCGAGCTGGTGAACGGGTGTCCCTATTATTTCAGAGTTCTGCCGCCTCTAACAAAAATCAAATCCCCAGGCATGGATCCTTGCGCCATAGGATCTATCGTCGAAGTTCTAGTCAACAGTTACGGTATGTGCCTTCAAAGATACGTGAAAGGATTTCTTTTCGACAGACAAACTCAGAATGTTGAAATTCTGTGTTTAGGAACTAGTCATGATGGTATTGATGTGACCGCGTGGTCTCCGACCGGCAGATCCCTGCCGTGTCCCGTCAAGGAGAAGGATGGGGTTCATACGGCGACCTTCCAACCCGACGAGACGGGAGAGTGGAGTATTGCGATAACGCATAAAGGAAATCACATACAAGGCGGTCCCTTCACTTGCTTCGTGTTTGATCCTAATGGAATCAAGGTACGATCGGTAACATAATTCATTCATTGTTAGTAATAGTTAGTATAGTTCTTTATAATTCCTTTTTTATGTAATTGATACATATTATTAATTAGTTTCTCTTATATATATTAGATCAAAGTAACATCGTCGTTTTGTGTTGTGAAAATAAGTTAATAAGAAATTAATCATGTTCAGCTCTTGGACACCGACGGTGCTATGCCCGGACAACCATTTTCCTTCATCGTCGACGCGCGGGGAACCGGCGGACTCGGTGACGTGATCATCGACATTGTCCACGATAAGCAGTCGATACCCTACAGGATGGAAGACTTTGGGCACATGCAGTATCGAGTGTCTTTTATGCCCGGCGACGCTGGCAAGTACCGAGTATACATGTACTTTAACGGCTCGGACGTGCGCGGTTCGCCGTTCTCTATACGAGTGGGCACGCAGAAGGGCTCTCGGAGATCGAAGGAGTCTACGTCCAGCCTAGAGCGATCCAAGGTATCCTCTCTGGAACGTCGAATGAACGGACTAAACATTTCCGCGACAGAACGAACCAGTCCGACTCAGAAATTATATACATCTACTGTATATAAATCTATCAGTCCAACACAGCGTGGTTATTCGCCGATCCATCAGGCTAGCCCGATCTACAAAACGTCGAGCAACTATATCACCGACAACTCCACCACCTCGACTTATCACAACACCAGCTCGCTAAATAGTACTCGCTCGCCGAATCAACTCAATCACAGTCCTATACAGAGGAATGTGCATAGCCCGTCGGTGCTGAAGGAGACGAAGGACATTTACGGCAACAGCACGTATAACCATAGATCGCCGAATCTGCAGAGTCCTACCTTCATCAAGGAGTCCAAAGATATTTATTCGTCTAGTACACTGAATAGATCGCGGTCGCCAGATGCAAGTCCGATCGGGCATATTATCAAGGAATCCAGAGATATCTACAACTCTGGATCCCTGAAGAGATCACACTCGCCGCCGCACTCGAGTCCGTATCGCAATGTCACGAGTCCCGCCCAGAGTCCTATAAACCGCAGCTTCAGTCCGAGGACCAGCGACAAGGACAACGGTGTCGTGGATACTAGTAGCAATGTGCGAGTGTCTTCGATGGTAGGTAGCACTTCTAGACGCGATTCCTGGGACGCGATCGCCAAGACGAAGTCGCTACTATCGTATGGTAGTTTGGAATCCCTGGCGAATTTAACCAACAACTCGCCGACCGCGGAGAATCGGGATAACAGCCCGAACAACAACTTCCTGAACAACAATTACAAGAATGCGCAGAGTTACACCACAAAGAATATGTCGTCGCATTCCGCGACGACGAATTATTCGTCCGTGCAGAAATCTTCAAGTCCCGATTATGGCACCGGACAAAAGTACGATAGTAATCAAGCTGCTCGTCATCATGGCATTCTGAAGAACAAGAACAATAACTACTACGGTAAGAGCGTAGATACGACGGACGGTACCGCGACGCATGATAGATACTTGAATAACGGCGGTTCCGTTTACGTATCCGCGTCATCCGGCAAAACGATGAGCTCGGCCATCGCCACCGGAAGCGCGCTGGAAACGCTGCCAGTACATCGGCCGACCACTTTCAACGTCAACTCTGATGTGGATCCCAATAAGGTGTCCGTCACCGTTACCGGTAAATCTCGATGCGACTTTCGACGTTAACGATGCGTGTCACGAATGCACGATGATGTCCGGTTTTATACTTTCCGCAGGTCCCAGCGGCAAGACCGTACCGGTACAGAGATCGAAACTGCGTGGTTTGACGTACACTATCACCGCCGAGGAAGTCGGCGAACACATCATCCAAGTCCTGGTAAACGGCCAGCACATCAATGGATCGCCCTTCAGGTTTGTAGAATGACAAAAACGATACTTATTTCTTGTCTTTATTATATGAGAAGGATGTTTTTTAGACACTTTGGTATATAATTTCGATATATATTTTAAGTTTAAAAATATCTAAAATTAAAATAGGGTATTTCTACATCCTCTACTAAACATTTATCGAGAAACTGAAATTAGAAAATTTAGATAATATGAGATATTTACGTAAATTTTAGATCGCAAGCGTATAATGCTCGAGCTATACAAGTTGAGAGTATCCCGAACGGAGTGGTGAACCAGCCGGTAGAATTCGAAAGTACGTATCCGACTGTGCGCGTCGTGAAACTTTAAGTGCATTCGATAATGAAGGACGTTTTCTTTTTTATCAGTTGACGGATCGAGAGCCGGGTCGGGAAACTTGGAGATCCTTGTGAACGGAGGACACGTTACAAGTTTCGTGAGAGCGCTAGGTAGTCAACGTTTCCTGGCGTCGTTTGTGCCACACGAAGCGGTTACGCACTTGGTCGAGATGACATTCAACGGGGAAGTCATCCCTGGTAAGTCATCTTTTGTGATATTTATATATATAGTTTCAAATCTCTAAACAAATAAAACTTTTAAACGCGCTTTTATCTCTAAATCCAAATTTATTCGGAATGAATTCCAAATGATTTCATTTTTTGCCAACAAAATGAATGTTTGGTAATCATTTTCTTGCACATAATAAACTTCGAAATTCAAGAATTACGTTAAAGGCAAAGATTTTAAGAGATTTTGGAAAAAATCATTAATATTTTTTAGTTATTTAGATATAAAAATTCACGATTGTATCCCGGATTTCGAACGTTAACGCAACTAAAAAGTTTATGTTTGCTGCTTCCACAGTCGGAGCACCGTTAGAACTCAGACATTTATCCCGTTTCATTCGCGTAAAGCTCCACGCTAGCATTTGCGATTGCTACCTTTGCTCGCCGCGAATATCTTAATTTTCACGGTGTGGTTCTTAGCGCGCCTTTCTTTCGTCAAATTCCGACGTAGCGACCTTCGGCGCTTCTCTTCGCTAGAATATATTCCTAACACGTTCGCACACGCACGCGTGCATGCACGTGCACGGGCACACATAACTCCTGGAATGCGCGATAGTCTTTGCCGTCGCTATTAAAGAAGCTGGAATGCGCATTCAACATTGAAATGTTATTTAAAAGTACGTCGCACGAACGATGATCTAAGCCTGGAAGCGATTCATCGATACGAATTAGAATTAATGCGTCGTTATAATTGCCTCTTGATCGAAGCAAATCGATTTTAAAATTACTCGATTTATGAATATTTTTATTTATGAATATGTGAAGCGAAGAATATACATAGCAAGCTTACAATTTAATCAATACATTTTAGATTATAAATAAGCAATTATCTTCAATAATCTTTTACTAAAAGAGAGAGTGGCATTATCAATCAATATTATATTAAATCATTCAATTTAATCTCATTTAGTAGTAATGTATTCAATTGTAATTTTTCTTAACTCAAATTTGCAGAAGAGACATATATGGCTTATTACATTTTTAAGTATTAGCAGGTATATATTCAGAAAGTATTATTCGTTAAATAGTACGCCATTGGCATGGATCCACCTTGAGTTCTGTCATGCTTCGCCACATCAACCATAAATAAAATGTACATACTTTTCTCTCACGTGCGCGCGAGCACAAATCACAATGTAGGTACTCGCAGCGATCTTATCATGGAAATCATTCACTACGTTACGCTACGGAGCGTTATTTTTCTTATGACCTTTAGTACTGTTAGACTACTCCGCGGCTCGATTTCCATTAACCATCGCGCGATCAGGAAAGGTGTCGTAAGCGATTTCCGGTATTCTCCTTTGCGTCTGCTTCATGGTTCACGATAACTTTTAAAAACGGTTTCTGCAATATCTGCAAACGACAGCTTGCAAAATCTCCGCCTCTTATCTTGCTCAATACGCGTACGTTGAAGTAATCCTACCATAGGTATACACAACATGGTCTTTGAGAGAAACTCTTTCGCGAACTATCCTCAACGCGGGTATTTTAATATCGAAGATTGAAAATTTCGAGAAAAAACAATGGCAGAAAAATCATTTCCGTTCGAGCCGATTTTAAAGTATTGGCATTATTAGAAGAAGTGTGTTTTCTTTCCTCTCGCCGTGTAATTCTTCGTTCGTGAGGATGCATATAATTACCGTCCTCCTCCGTAATAAGTGCCTTTGAGCGATCCATGCTACTTTTCGTGCTTTGCGTACTTCTCCTTCAGACGAGAAGCCATCCAGGAATGTACACAGGGTGATCGAGTTCATCCGCGTCCCAGGCGAAGCAAGCGTGTCTCTAAGTCAGCGGGTCATCGAGCAGGTCGTTGACTTGCGATTTCACGCATTCACGTGACGTCCCACTGACCCATATGCGACGTCATCGTTTTCTTCGGCTTCCTGAACGCGAATTTTTCCGCCGCTACCCCACCGTCGCGAGGCCGTGATCCACAATACCGAATGACGAGACATTCATCTTCCTCATGCCGTTTAAGTCATGTTACTATACAACTTGATCATAAAACAGTACAGACGCATCCAGCTTTGTAAAAGAACGCACTAAAAACGTGTAATGAGCAATAAATATTTCACATGTAATTTATATTTAATTTAATTTTCCGCGGTCAAAGTTTTACTTGAAATTAAAATTAAATCCGAATGATTTATATCCTATTTATATTTGATATTTATATATTAATTATTGAAGGATAAAAGTTAAAAGCTTCGAGAAGAGAAGAAACACTTTAAGAAAGTGAAATTGTTACCCACAGAAAGACTAGAGGATACATAACTCCGCTACGCCATTGCACGTGCACGAATAATATTATTTGGATGCCATGTATAGTGCACTCTCTGCAGTTGTGACTGCGTGTTGTTCACGTAGGGAAGTAGCAATACACTCGGTAACCACATTATTATCTCTACTCTTTCCTCTCGCATTGCCGACCAGAAAAGAAGAATATAAATTCTTCTCTCATCCGCATTTTTCGATATTTCTCGACTCACGTATGTTTCACAATATTAACACAAGTTATTTCTTACATAATGTCACTATCTTATCTGACAATCTCTTATATATATA